AAATGAGATATAGAATATGCGATGGTAAATGAAACAGGAATCAAATTGCGATACGTGCGATATTCGCATGACTACATTTTCCGCGCATTTAAAGAATATGTGATGATAAAAGGAATACGTGAGTGTAGCGTTGCACGAGATATATAAGCGACTGCATTTTCTGCTCCTTTATATCATATCTGACAGTAAACTGATCCGGGATCAAACGCGCCTACGCGTAGTGCTATTTGCAACCGACATATTCGCGCGATTTCTACTCCTGTCATATATATGCGTATGAAGCGGAAGATGCACGCGTGCGAATGCATATGCGGGCTCTTTGAAGCACCTGAACACTTCCTGCGATGGCTGAATCACTACGGAATTCATAACACGATCACGTTTATGAGTAGACGAGGCACGCGCTGTGACAGGCGATATAATAAATGCACATCAAGATATTCGCATCCAACGATAGAATAAGATGCATTGAAAAGAAGGGTTCGTGAAATAACATGTAATACTTGTCTAAAATATAATACTTGTTGCGCTATAGAACAAGCAGGAGGAGCAGGAGATACAGGACGAGCTGCTGGGTACGGCTGAGAAGCGTGTCTCACTCAAGTCCCAAATCAAACTCATGCGAGAGGAACTGATCGAGGGAAATAAACGTACTCACGAGATGAAGATGAAGGTCGACTTGCTAGAAAAGGATCTGAAGAAAAAGAACGAAGAGCTTAGCATACTCACACAACGGGTAAACTATATCAAGGGGTGGATCACGTCATAGATTTTTGTTTAGAGAAATGTGGATTTTGACAATATATATAATATATGTATATATATATATATATATTCTCTACTTGAAGACATTATTATATTTAAAGCAAATTTAAGCGAAATTATTGATCTCTGGATTACGCCTGGATACGTAAAACTCGTTTTCCGCCACAGCATCCCGTTGTCATGACACGGTGGCGCCGCCGAACATTGATCGCGATTGATTATTGTCGACATTAATTATTTAACGGTCGAATAAATGTTACATTGACGCTCCAAAACTAAAAGTTATGATACAATTAGAGCGTTGAATGAGTTTATATCGACTCAGGGCACAGCATAACGTACTTTGTTAGGGCCTTACTAGCTGACGCAGACAACACAAGGAGATAGCCGGATGCTTCAGGCTGAACGAGACAAACTACAACGACATTGCTGCTAACGAATCGACGCGAAACTTTGCATCGATGAAGTGTATAAACAAACCAGACACGGAGAGACGTGACGTGGTCACAAAAAGGTACAACAATCTCCCATTACGTATTTGGTTACGTCATGTGTGGATAGATAAGATTTAAGATTTTTTAAGCAGCCGTTTTGCGCCTGCTGTCACATGCAATTTACATAATGTAACAACTCATCTGAAATTTTAATTACGTATAAAAAGTGTATTCATATGGTCAAGAGCTAATAATACCTTATTATAATATATATCATATAAGGTATTATTAGCTGCTTGATACTGGTCGAGGTTACTGGCGACCACCACTCATTTCGGAAACTGTACTACTGTGTATTAATTAAGCTGCATTGGACAAACAGATCTTTGCCAATCGCTGAGTGTTTACATTAATTGATACCACATCAACCCCGAAGATATACACCTGAACTAGAAATTAGCGCTGCAAAACACAGGGTTTATGCTTGAACAACCGCTAATCCGATAATAGCATATTTTGATCTCTCTCCTCCCTCGGTCTCGCTCTCTTCTCTCACCCTCGCTCGCTCGCGCTGGGTCTCTTCCCTTCTCGCTCTCATTCTTGTACATAAACAAACTAGTGCCACGTGAATGAAGATGCAGAACAAACGGGAAAAACTACAGCAAAATACTGACACAACGATAACATCAGGAGTGAATAATAGACATCTCTATTATTCACTCCTGATAACATGATACCAATGACGACGATGTTGCATCAGGCGTACTAATCGATTTATTGATCTGTATCGCAGGCACAACGACCTGGAGCTGGAGTTAACCAACGTGAGGTTAGAGACGAGCAAACTAGATATGCAGCTGATGAAAGCCATCCAACAGAAAGTAGCAATGTCTGTCCAGGTCGAAGCGTGGGAGGTGTGTAGTACTCCGCTCTCTCTTTCTCTCTATCTGTCTCTCTCTCTCTCTCTCTCTCTCTCTCTCTAGCATTATCTCGATATCGCCCACGGTTTCCCCACCTCTCTGGTTCTCTCTCGGTGTACCTTTCTCTCACTCTCCAGTTCGCTCACTGTCCTTTCTCTCTCTCGGTGATTCTCTCTCTCTCTCGCTGTCTTTCTGTCTCTCTCTATCTCGATCTCTCCCACTCGTTTTCACTCTCTTGTCATTTGCGCTCATTTTCTCTCACTCTCTCTTTTCTTTCTTTTACATGTTTCTAATAAGAGTCTAATAATATATCTCCATATAGCTTACAGTCCGACATGCAGACAGTGCTTGAGAGTCAGATGAAGATGAGGATACAAGAAGCCGATTCGTGCGCGGGCAGCAGCAGCGTCGATGACGTCATCATCACCCAAGCAACAACGCCGTCAGGTTCAAAAAACATCCTTAGATTGTTCCGCAGATCGTAGAGACGGAGCGAAATGATTGTAAATAGTCTTGACAACTGTATGCGTAGAGTGACTAGGGGAAACGAGAAAGATATAAGACCTATTTATCTATCTATGCACATAAACACATGCACGCGTACACTATACATAATTATATTGTCAGGAATAGAATTTATTTACATGTTATCATACGTATATATATGTTATATATATATATATATATAATCAATTATCCCCAGTGGAACTTATTCGTGGAGAAATAGTCACCGAAATAATTGGCTTCATTAGATATATTTTTGAAGCTACTCTGCCCAGTTTCACTAGCTATTATATATATATATATATATTATATATATATATATGTGTGTGTTATATATATATAATATATATATATATATATAACATATGTATGTATGTATATATATATATATTAATATATATCACCAGCAGGAATACATTACCTTCAATGTACGATGCCCTCGAGTCGACTTTCGAATGCCAAAAAACACATACCACTCAAGAAAAACATTTTAATCGCACGTAAAGACGTTTACATTAGAATGCCTGGTCACTACCAGAAAGAACGTGTTTATTTGGGGGGTACGTACACCTGAAGACAACCCTGTAGCAGCTTTGTGACGCATATTCGGTGTCGTTGCTACAGTCAAAGGTTAACATTGTCATAACGTACTCTCATTCCAGATGTAAGTGAAAGCGTATAATATTATGTCTCTCTCGCAGGCCATCCTTATTTCATCCACGAACTTATATATGCGTATATATATATATTTGTGTAAAAACTTCTCTTATGTTGTGACTGCTAGAACGTCGATCTGCAGCGCATATCCCGCAGGATGTGGTGCTACATATACCAGCACATATAGTCCTTCTTTATACGCTCTTGATATAGTGCATATAGTTCTAGCCAAATAGGCGAAATACTATTGCAGTTGTATAATTGACATTTCCTTTTGGCCAGGTTTCTTATAGCAGATGTCAGCCCAATGTATGAAACTTGGCCAGTAACCGATATTAGATATGAAACCGCGACAGATACGTCGTGACTTAATTGACCTAGAGGAACAATTACTTTAATTATTTCGTATATCATCAGCAGGGCTTATAATAAACGCAGTCACAAAGCGCATGTTTGGTTATGTATCAGCCAATATATCTACCAGATCAACATAAACCAGACAAGTCTGGAGTTGAGCAGGTCATCAAAAGGGATTGTGAAATTTAAAACCGATATAAAGACATAAAGATCAAAGTTGATTTGTTTGTTGAAATACCGACTCGGTTTGACAGAATTTCTAAGCATGATGCTTGAATTGAATGGGTCAGTTCACATTGGCGTCAAGCTATTTCCCTGAAGTTGATTTACCTCGGATTAGGTACACTGTAAATGCAATAACAGTCGTATAAAAGAGACAAACCCGCTCACGGATAAAAAAGTAGAATTATTTTTTATTTTGATCTGTTTTTTAATCATGAAATGTTTCCGTCCTATATACTGTATATACCAGTGAAGTGCCTCGTTCGATATCGTAGAAACACTAGGCCTGGATTGTGTGCTACACTTGTACAACGGATACCGTTTGGTTCATATACCAAAAAATTTAATAATGAATTGCCTTAAAATTAATAATATATGGTGTGGAAACTAGGCATACTGGCCGCAGAGGGAAAGCTTTGAGTGAGAAACGTGTCATGGTTGTGATTTCATGTCCTTGCACCAGTGCATCCTGTTCACATGTTGATACGTTGAACCAACCACACATGACGCGAGAGGCTCATGTTAAGGATTTACGAGGTGTCGCATGTGAAGAATGGCTTTGCAATAATACTCGATGGTGTGTGTATTTGCAGATAATTCATTAAAGGGTTATTGAAGTAGGAAATGAATCTTACTTGTTTATATAATTATCTATTTTAACCAACACTCGGTTACGGTGTAGCACGTGATTGTATGTTTACCATATGGTCATAGAAGTACATTGATGAAAAGCATAGTGTAAAGCCCGGCGCACACATGAGTAATTTTACTCAAGTAAAATGATGTATGCGTCAAAATACTCAACGTGTGCGCGCTAGCTGCGTAAATTTACTCAACACTGGTACTCACAGCGCATGCGATTAAATCATTTTAAAGATGACTGCGCCCAGTATTGCTACATTACCAGTTATACCTCGAGTAATTTTACTCACGTGTGCGGCGGACACTGAAAATATTTCGCGTGAGTATTTTGACGCATGCATAATTTTACTTGAGTAAAATTACTCTCGTGTGCGCCGGGCTTTATATGATGGAGGAAAATACGTGCTTTACAGAGAAAGTTATACACGTAAGCAATAGTCAAGCATCCAGTTGAAGCAATGGTCAGTCCCACTGGATGAAAATAAATGCGAGAAATAAATCATTAGTAATCTCAGTCTGAGACAAGAGTGACTAGATCACATGCAAAGCTGCGAAGATTTATTACGTTAAGTTATTGACATATAATATTAATCAGTATTACGACAAAACAGGAGCTTCTATTCCATAGGAATGATCTAACATGGTTTCAAAGTACAAGGTTAGTTTAAAAAAAAGAACAAGATGTACTTATCAAATATTTAAATTTCTCGAAAACTACAAACTAGAGAGTGTGACACAGTTATTTGTATATGAAAGATAAACAGGAACGGTAACAATGTTAACAGTCTTTATTTTGTGTGCAACAGACTTATAATTTTCACTTTTAAGTAACATTTAACGTGCGCTTGCACACATGAACGAGTTAGTGGAACGTTTATACTCTAACACCCAGTAAAACACAATGTGACACCTGAACAAAAATAAGCCAGGAACACATTTCCAGGGTTCTCCTTAGGAATAAAAATATAAATGCAGACATTTCTGGCTGAGCTAATTCGTAAAATGCCGTCATGAAATAAATACATCTTTACAATACTGGCAATCATGTATACTTAGCGTTACTCTATGAGCGTTATAACAAGACTACTAACGCTTTATGGCACACTATCTTACTGTCACAACAACAGTTAACAAACCTAAAGCACAGAAACCTAAAGCACAGAAGCTTCAACCATTATATCTTAGCATTTTAGACTATTTCGGACCTATCTATAAAATCCACTATCTATTACCCATACAGTTCTACACTAGCATGACTAGACCAACACATCACTGGGGAGGAAGACATCCTGATGTGGTAATCATCCCCCACTTGACCACATTGTGCAAACAACATAAATTAATTAACTAGAGCGTATTGCTGGGACTATTTGCGTATTAGCTAGAACTTTTGCTGGGATAGGTGATCTACCCTCATACAGCTATATGGACAAGTCTAGCCAAGGGACAAGCCAGATACTATGTGTTACGGATTGCGTCTCGCAATCAGTTATGTTGACTGCACCGTAATACCGCGCTGCACAGCGCACCGTAATACCGCGCTGCACAGCGCACCGTAATACCGCGCTGCACAGCGCACCGTAATACCGTGCTGCACAGCGCACCGTAATACCGTGCTGCACAGCGCACCGTAATACCGCGCTGCACAGC